CCATTTATTTTGTAGAATTTTAAATTTGTTGGTTTGTTTGAACTAAATTGATAGATACAAATATCTTATTTTAATATAATGTTTGAATCAAATTAATTAGATATTATAAACTATTTTTTAATTAAAAATATTAAATTCGAAAGTTTTAAAAAATTTCGGTTAATTCGAAAATTAACCGAAATTTATTCGGTTCGGTTAATACTTTCATAAAAAAGTTTCGTTCGGTTAACAGTTAAAGAAGAAAAATTCGGTTTAGGGTATTTCGGTTCGGTTTTAACTGAATGAACACCCCTAAATACAGTCCTCCAACATTTAGTCCGTTTGCAATATAGTCCCTGACGTAATCGCCTGTTTGACGCCGTTACACTACCGTTAGTACGTTTGTAATATGGTCACTAAACTTTTCAGGCGCTTGCATTTAGGTCCCCCAACTTCTAAAACTTACAACACATCCCTCAATCATTCTAAACCCCAAATTCCTTTTCGATCTTTAATTTCCTTTTTCTCTTTTCTCTTCTCATTTCCAGCGTAACTTTTCAGTCGGGGATGCATGGGAAATTCTAATATAACTTTGAATTATGTGGAGGTGTTAACTTGAATAAGGGTCCATTGAGAGAAGACCCAACCAAGGGACTATCGGGACCATCAACGATTGAATGTGTAATGTTAGATATAAGTCATCTAAGGTGAAACATAGATGTTCGATGAAATGCTTTTGAGAAAAAATGGGGTTAGAAATGCAGAGTTGACAAATACTACTAAGATGAACTAAGTATCATTGTTGAAAGTTACCAACAAAGCTGAAATTATTTTGTATAAATGGCTTATAATAATTTCTTCGTTTAATCATTGTGGTTAAAGATTTTCCAACAGATGATCAAATATAATAAAATCATAAACAGTGCATTCACCTCTTAGTCTCTTTCGCTCACGTGCACTTTCGTTTGGTTTTTGTTTTTCAATTTTCCGCCATGTAAAATTGTAAACCCAAGCAGTGCTCTGTCTTTTAACTTTTTATTTACAAAAAAAATGGAGGAAGAATTACTGGAACGCAACACCGATTGCGTTTAATTTTTAGCCTCTCCCCTCACTTGCAAGAAGGTATTTATTTTCTCTTTTAGGCTATTCGGAAGTAAGTTTTTCCTCTTTCGCACTTTCCCATTTTCAGCTCACATTGTGTGTTTTTTGTGAAATTTTTATGTTTCTGTAACTGCATGTTAATGATATGAATATTCAGTGTTAGTTTGAACCAAAACCATCTAATTTTCTTTCTTTCTTCTTAATCAAAACTTTTAGTACTCTTATGAAATATTCAGTCTATCATAATAGAAGTGAAAGAGGGTCCTAGGCTAAATTTTTTTATCTTCTTGTTTGGTTTTTCTTTAAATCAGGGATTTGGTTGAGTATTGACATAGTGAAATCACCAAGTTCAATCCGAGAGACTGCTGGTACTAGTTTACTGGGAATTGTATTGATCCGACCTATGGTTTTCGGCGTCCTGTGAGCTCGTATTATTTTTAATAAGTTCATGTTGATTATGGGACTGATATAACGTGAACGAATTGGATTTTTTACATGTTTTGGAAATTGAGAACTGTGTTGCAAGTTTTAAAAGTTGGGGGACTAAATGCAAGACCTGAAAAGTTCAGTGATCATATTGCAAACATACTAACGGCAGTGTAACGCGTCAAATGACCGGTTAAATCGGGGACCATATTGCAAACGGATTAAATGTTGGAGGACTTTATTACACGTTTTCAAAGTTGGGAGACCTAAATGAAAACTTTGAAAAGTTCAGTGACCATTACTATACTTTACCCTAAAATAAATATAATTTCCTTTTTCTTTTCATTTTGCTCTTTAATCTGTCTTCTTTTTTTCTTGGGTTTTATTTATAGAATAAACTGATTACATTAAAAACAAATCCTTAATCGCCTTCTTGTTAAATCAATCTTTGCTGTATTGTTTCTCTTTTTCAGTCTTTCTTCTCTCGCACGCTTTCTCCGTCGCTCTGCGCCTTCCCGATGTAAGATTCTTATCAATGCTTTACATCAGTCGCGTTCTACTTACTCTACCTTATTACTATTCTCATATCCTTTTTTAAGAAAACCCTAATTCATTTATTCGCTAAGCTTTGCTGGTTTGATTTCAATTAGGGTTTAAGAAGAACCTGAATCAAAGTCTGGGAGAAGTTTCAGAGTGTTTTCTTTTTCCATGTTGAAAATCTTCCTCTCTGGTTCACATAAGCTGTATATATATTTTGTTATTTGTTTGATTTATTACTAGGTTCTACCGGATTAAACTTTTATTTAATGTCGAAGGCTGATAAAATTTGATTAACTTTTGGGTATCCTGCTCGCAGTTTGTTGATTTATTTATTGTCATCTTTACTCTACTGTTTTCGTTCATAGCCACATTGTTGATTTTTCTAATGCTGCTACTCTAGAAATGATGAAAAACTTAATGTCTTTTTGTTTCCAGAGGCTAATTAACTTGATGCTCGTTGGGAGTTGAAGAAAAATTTCTTGGGCAGAATGGGATTTGATAATGAGTGCATACTGAATATCGAATCCCTGGCTGGAGAATACTTCTGTCCTGTTTGCCGCCTACTTGTCAACCCAAATGAAGCATTACAGTCACAATGCACCCATCTTTACTGCAAACCCTGTTTAACTTATATTGTCAGCACTACTCGAGCTTGTCCTTATATGGTTACTTGGTAACAGAAGCTGATTCTAAGGTAAGTCTCCAATACTCTGCTGACTGGTTCTTATTGTATTGCTACGATTATTGTTTCCTTCCCTTTGACTTTTCCCGCCACATCAAATTACAGCCACTTGTTGAGTCAAATAAGTCACTTGCTGAGTGATTGGGAAGATCATTGTTCATTGTCTCTATCATAGGAGTGGATGCACATGGCAGGGTCCTCTTTCTGAATGTTCAGCTCATTGTTCTGGGTGTGCATTTGGCAATTCTTCTGTTGTATGTAATCGGTGTGGTGTTCAGATTGTGCATCGTCAAGTTCAAGAACATGCACAAAATTGCCCTGTGAGTGCATTAGATCATTGTGTTGTTGTTGAACCATGTTTTATGTAGCATTTGTAGTAAATTTGACTTTTTTTACATATTATTAATACAGAGGGTGCAACCTCAGGCCCAACAGGTTGTGAGTGGTCAGGAAATTTTAGCCCCGGGCTCTATTTCTGATCAGACTCAGGTTGCTTCTTAGGCAGAAACAACTGCTTCTCAGGCCCATACATCTCAAACTGCAACATCCAGTACATCTGTACAGGACCTCATTCAGCCGGCCAATCCAAATCCTCAGTCTCAAGCTGTCTCCCAGGTTTCTGCAGTTACTTCAGAGCACTGGTCTCAACAACAACAACAACAACAAAGTCAGCAATACTACCAGCAGTTTTCTGGATATGACTTGTATTATCAACAACATTACCCGTATCAACATCAGTCATTTCCACAATACCAGCAGCAACCTTTGCAGGTTAATGCATCACATATGGCTGGACAGAATCCAGTCTACTTGCAGACCCAGCCCCAACCTCAATCACAGGTCCAGCCACAGTCGCACTTATCTGTTCAGGTTTCTGTAGTTGCTCAACCTCAGAGCCAGGCACAAGCCAATCAACAGCACCAAACTCACCTTACAATGCCACTGCACTCTCAAATTCTAGCTCAAACTTACCCAACATCTTGGTCCATTCCCAACATCTGGTTCAACCACTTCCTCAAGCTCAGCCACATCCGCAGGTCCAAACTATTCAACCTCATTTGCAACATGGGAACATGCCTCAGTATCAGCAACATCATTCCCAGATGCAACTCCCAGAGCCCCAACCTCCTCCTGGTCCTCAAGCTCAACATCATTTTCAAGCTCAGCCACAGGCACACCAGCTTCAGCCTCTACCCCAGCCTCAGCTCCAGCCACATCCTCAACCAAGCCAGCCCTTGAATCCAAATTTATTACCACAGACACAACCCACTGCAGCCCAGGCAGTGATGGTCATCAATTATTCGCAATCACAGCCCATCAGCTGGTAGCACTACAAATCCCTTGCATACGCATGCTCAAGGGGGCCTTCATCCACAACAGCATCCTGTTGAAATACAGAATTCCTACCCTCAGCATGCTCCGCAGATGCGGCCACCCCAGTCTCATGTTGCAATTCCAAACCAACAGCAGCCTGGTTCGTTGCCTTTACCCAATCATATGCTGCAACAAGCACATCCTCATTCTGTTCAACATCCACTTTCAACTCAACCACAAAGAGTTATGCAGCCTCCTACGTCACTTATGTCTCATCAATATATGCAGCAGCAACAGCTGTCAACCCAACCGGTGGGCTTGGTTCAGACTCAAATGCATCAACAGGGTCCTTTTGTGCAGCAACAACAGCCCATGCAATCTCAATTTCGCCCCCAGGCCCCTCTCTGTCCTTTCAGCAGCCTCCTCATGCTTATCAACTACCACAACAAAATGTCACAGAATCGAATGTTGTGCATCCCTATCCAACACCTAATCCTGCTGGAAGACCTTTGACACCAAGTCATGGACTACAATCACAGCCATATCCACAGTCTGCACCTGCTATGCTGGTTAAACCCATACAGCTTGGTGCCAACCAGCCATCATATCGAATAGTGTGCTTAGAACCAACAACCAATCTGGGTTAATTCACAACCCGTGTCAGAGATACCAGGAGATCATGGTACTTTACATGTGGCTGAGAAAGAAGCTGGTTTATCTTCCAAGGGAATTGCTAAAAAAGAATCTAATGAGTTGGATTTGACATCTAGTCTTGGAGCTGATATGGTCAACACTAATACTTCAAAATCCAATGCTGATTTGAAATTGATTGATGAAAAACCTGCTAGTGATGTTGGGGATAATAGTACTGGGTTTCACAATTCTACTAATGTGACACGAGAATCTAGACACAAATTTTGTATTGCAGAGGGATACTTTGTGAAGAAAAAATGGGAAGATGCAGAAAGACAGAATTCAACATCAAGATAAAAGTACAGCTAAAGGTCTTGCAGGCAATGAATTTTCTGGAATCCCTCGATCTAGTCAGGTGAAGCATTCTCATTTAGTTCCAGTTGTTGATCAGGGAAGGCATCATTCTCAACAGATAACATATGGGTCTAATAATAACCAACAAAAACCTGCTGCATCTGCAATGTTACAAGCACCTCCGCCCGGACTGCCTTCACATGCACAAGCACCAGGACTTCATCCCAATCAAGTTAGGCCTCAGGGACCAAGACAGACTCTAGTTCCACCTGAAAATTTTGCTCCTCCCTTTGGTGGAGGACCAAGTAGTTATGGTCCTCAAGGGCCTTATAATGAAGCTCCTGTTTCTGGTGCTCCTAGGTTGCCTAGACAAGGTGAACATTTGAATCCATTCCCTTTGGATCATTCCCAACAATTCGGTGATCGAGGAAAATTTGATGATGATCTTAAACAATTTTCTAGGCCTTCTCATTTGGATTCTGGTCCTGTTCCTAAATATGGGAGCTATTTTTCCTCATCAAGATCCCTCGATAGAGGTCCTCATGGTTTTGCTAAGGATATGGGACCATGGGCTCATGAGAAGGACCCTCGTGGTTTGAATTTTGATCCTATGATTGACTCTGGCCCTTCTCGATTCTTGCCACCATATCATCTTGATGATGCAGGAGAACCAGTTGGTCTTCCTGAAGATACTCTAGGCAGACCGGGTTTTCTTGGAACAGTTCCCGGCTATGGTCGGCATCTTATGGATGGTTTTGTCTCTAGAAGTCCAGGCAGAGACTATTCAGGGATATCGTCACACAGATTTGGAGGACGTCCTAGTGATGAGATAGATAGGCGGCGTGGATTCGATGATAGATTTTCAGGTTTTCCTATACATAGGGGTGGGTTTGAGAGTTCTGATCACATGGCAGAGCATTTTGGTCCAGATACTCGACCCCCACACTTCATCAGGGTGAAAATTTTGGTCGTCATAACATGCCTGGTCAGGTGCGGATGGAAGGACCTATTGGCTTTGGTGAGTTTCTAGCCATGAACATATGGGAGAATTTGATGGGCCTGGAAACTTCCGTCAACCACGACTTGGTGAACCTGGATTTAGAAGCAGCTATTCGCTTAGAGAATTTCCCAATGATGGTGGAAGATATACAGTTAAGTGTTGATTTTGTTCTATTCTTGTCGATTATGATATAAAAATACTGCTCATTCATAGTGTTTCTGGAGAACTAATTTATACCTGGGAAATATATCATTGAGTTCCATATATGTTTCTGCTCTTGATCTATTTTGACTCGGTTTTTTCAGGGTGATATGGAATCATTTGAAAATTTGAGAAAGAGAAAACCGGCAAGCATGGGTTGGTGCCGCATTTGTAAGGTGGATTGTGAAACAGTTGAAGGCTTGGACATGCACTCACAAACAAGGGAGCACCAGAAAATGGCTATGGATATGGTTCTGATCATCAAACAAAATGCAAAGAAACTCAAACAGTAAGTTTTCTATTTCCATATCGTGCATGGTGGTTTCTAAACCTTGATTTGCTTATGTAAAATATCTTTTAATTTTTTATGTTGCTTTGTTTTGTAGAACCTCCAGTGATCACTCCCTACGCAATGATTCAAACAAATCAAAGAATGCAAAATTTGAAAGCCGCTCAAATAAGATTAAGTCTTGATATATGTTGTCCCGTAGATTGTGGTTGTCCCCTTGCTGGCTTGGAATTGAGTTTGTCGGTTTGCTATTTGGCGCTTAGTGATGTAGGTCACTCACCCTTGTCTCTTTTCAACTTCTGGGTGGTTTATGCTGGTCCTGTCATTCAGGTTGCTGACATGTTAATGGAGATGGTTTTGGAACTGAAGTTCAGTGGCAGTTAAGTTTGTTGTTTTTACTTTTTTAACATGATATCTGTTTCTTTTAGAACTTCAGTATTTGTGGCTACTTAAGCATTATCTGGTTAAAAGTTGATATATCAGGATATTTTGAAGTAGTGCTTATTTGCTTGTTGAGATGGTATAATTTAGTATGTATGTATCTCTATTGCCTTTCCTTATCCAGATGCTTATTAGGTTGGATCACCGAAGATCCAATATAAGCTTTTGCTTGCATGCTTCAATCTACTGTTGACTCTAGTTTTTTTTGTGTGTGTATATTTAGGATCAGAATCATTTTGTATCATTGTGTGGCATTTAACTAAATATATGAATTCCTTTCTCAATCACCGACACTGTTGAACTGATTATGCAACTTTTCACTTCTATAAAAATGTTGCTACCCAACCATCTTTCTATTGGCAGATGCTTTTGCTCTACCAACTTTTGTTGCCTCTTAATATTGAAGTGAAGAAAATAGAAGTTACACTGGAATGTCATTAGAAATTATTATGAGACAGCCAGATGATAAACATTGGTACATGATGTGGCGAAGTATATATGGAAATGTGTTCTTAAATTGATGTAAACTAGTAGTCTAATTGTGACTTCATATGCTTTCTATAATTAATATCTAAGTTGTTAATGTTGCATTTGAAATTTAGTTCATCTGAAAATATTCTTCTTTTGTATTCCATAATTCAAGTACACAAGTGCTGTGATCTCTAAATATTAGTGCTCAATATTAAATTTAATCAAACAGTTTTGACATGGCATGATCTGCAACAAAAAATATATTTGGGGGCGTATGCTAAGTTTAAATATGATATATTTAGAACTGGCTACAGTTAATCTATAAAGCATTTGGGTAAAGTACTAGAAGTCACTGAACTATATAAAAATGATCTTTTGGTCAGCAACCTTTCAAATGTTAGGAAATGGTCATTAAACTTCCCAAAAGTTACAAAATGGTCATTAAAAACTTCAAACTGTATGATCTTTAAACATATTGAAATACTACAAAATGGTCCTTCAACTTTTGAAATTTTATTGTTATTTTAACTTTGCAAGGGACCATTTGTAATTGTTTAGAAAGTTTGACTATACTGTAACATTTGAAAGGTTGCTGAACAAAAATCATATTCATATAGTCGGTGACCTCTAATGTATTTTACCCAAAACATTTTAATGCTAAAAGCCATTAATGTTGCAACTTGTTAAGGTTTATGGGTGTTCCTTGCCTTATTTGTAGCTAGGATTGCTTAATGAGCTGTATTATTTTGCTAGGAACATGTTTGTGCAATAGATTGCTAAACCTATCAGCCCAAAGCATTTAATCTCTGTCATCTAGTCAAGTCAATTTGAGGATCTATGTGTAGCTTTACCTGTGGAAATTATCATTATAATGCAATGAACATCAAAATGAGGCCTGCTTGATCACTCTAAGCACAAATTAATATAACCATAAGCAGAAGATTGTTGGTTTTTGTACTTTGTTCCTTTTATATGAACTTTTGAAGACTTAAGGCCATGAGAGATAGATCTTCCTTGGTAGAGGATAAGCATTGTTGGCTTAAAGAATAAGCTTCTTGTTAAGGGTGAAATTATCTCCGTCCTGTGGTGGTTTGTGATACTATTATAGGTTCAGTATCCTTTCTTAAAGAATTCATGTTTCTTCTAGTTGAAGTTCAGGAATTTTTTTATCCAAGTTATTGCCATTTCGATCCTTTTTTAATATCTGTTTTAAGACAATATTTTCCTTTAGTTATATTTAATAATTTTTGGGTCCAATGATTAATACCATCACAATTCTTTCAAACTTGATAGAATTGATTTTTATTCTGGTGGAATTTCTTTTTTCTATAATAGATTTTTCATTCAACACCTCTTTTTCGGCGAGCAGACAACATAATGGCTGAAAGGGTCAGTGGGAAGGTTTTGACACATCTTTTTAAGATGTGGTAAAGATTGTGTTCTGCTTTGTGGTAAACTTTTGCTTTGTAATCTTTTTTTTTCAATTTTTCTTTGAAATTGATTTACTGCAAGATATTGTATATGTTGCTTTATTTACACTGATTTTTGTTTTATATATTCTTTTGAGATGATCTTTTAACTTTTTAAAGTCAAATGCTATAATGGAAACTTGTAGTAGTCTGAAATTTTAGAACTGAGAGCTTGGTAAAATTGTTAGTTCGACGGTAAGTTATTCCTTAAAATGTATTCTAGGAATTCTTATGAATACTTGGATTTAGCTAGGTCGTTGACTACCTTCTCTTGTAGTTTAGGAGTGCCTCATCCTTTTGTGGAAGGGATAAAGCTTAGGCAGAGACTCCAATTAGAGTTGCATGTTAGTACGGGTTTGCTTATGCGGATGAGTCTAAAATGCAACCGGTTAATATAAGGCTAAAAAAGACAAATCTGTTGTAATTGAAAAATTTACCAAGAGTAACTTTTTAGAGTAAATTGGGTAACATTTTAGGTTGAAACTGAATATTATGTTTCCCTTAACAATTCATGTAAATTGCATAACTATTCCAGTTGCAACCTAAAAGTTACCATCTAGACATTCTCGGTTGCAACAGAAATGATTACCAATTGTGTAACTTTTTAGAGTATACAGGCAACATTTTAGGTTTAAATCTGCCGTCATGTAACGTTCCCAGTTGTGACCAAAATTATTACCAATTGTATAACATTTTAGATTAGACAAGATAACGTTAAAACCAGCTGCAAATTTGTCTTAGGTTAGGCCACTACACAACAAAACTACCCTGCTTAGGCCATGGGATGTCCTGGGGCTTAGTTTATGTTAGGATGGACAAGAAAGTGCCTTCTATATTTCATTTCAAATATGATTCGTTTTGGAATGTTATGTTAGGAATAGTAAATAATAACGAGCATGGTTATTAGGCCTCATCTCCACTCTTGCTTCTACGGGTATAGGCTAGTAACTGCAGGTCTAACAGGTATATATCACTAGGATCCATCTTTTCCAACTTATGATGTTGAAATTGAGGGGGAAAAGTGTTAGGTGTTTCAGTATAGGATCTAACAAGTTATGACTTAATTTTTCGAATACCAGTGATGCATTTTCTTCTTGTTCTTGCAGTTCATTTTTGGTTCCGTCTGTTTTGACTTGAGCCTTATGCACATTTGATGTAATATCGTGGAGACATTAATCTATAGTCTTATTGACTTTAATATATTTATATACTATGATCCGTTCGTAAAACATTGATAGTTTCTATATTCAGTTGGTCATATTCGAGAAATTCCAATTCCAAGTATTTAGTCAAGCGGAATTGGGCTTTTGATATGTTTATGTTCCTATAATTCTCTACGACTCCCTTTAATTTATGATCTTAAAGTATTTAAGGTGCAAAGTCTTTGATCTCACTCTAAAATGAGACATGATAGAGTGGAAAGTAATTTACTACAAACATAAATAACAATCAAGTAGAAGTTGACTTGGCAGCCAAAAAGAGAGTAGAAGATACCAATGTTGATTTGTTTCCAAGGGAATTACTTTATGGGCGTTCATCATCCAAATTTCTGTAGTTAGTTTTGAAACTTTCATAATGCTCAAGTTAGTCATTATGTAGGATCTGTTTCCCGTTCAATGATTCTCATGATTTTCAATTCTGTAAGATGTCAAGTCTTGGATCGACTGTATCTGCTCTGCTCTATAAATTAGATGTGATAAGTTATTAAGTGCAAAGTAATTAACAACAACATGCATTCCACAAAGCTAACTCAGTACTGGATTGCCTAGTTAACCTTGCTGCATCTACGTATGATTAAACGTGGTGCATGGCCTAGTCTTTAGTTCTTAGTTCTTTTTGGCCTTATGCCTAAATTTGTTACAAAAAAAAAAAGCACTAAACCTGATAATTATCAAGTAATGAATTAATAATATCAAGTAATTAACGATAAAGTATTCTGTAAGGTAAAAATAACTTGATAGGTAAGGCTCTAGATTATACTGTAAGTGGTGTGTGGCTCTGCCTTTTGCAAGAATAGATAGCATCATAGTTGCCGTTGCCTCGAATTGTGAACACTTGCACCCGAGCCTTGAGAAGGATAAAAAAGCTGTAGAGGTAAAAGAACAATGATAGGTTTAACAATCCATTCAGTGGTAAAATTTCTGTTAGAATCATTTGTA